TAAGTCTAATATCCTTGCAACAAATGCTGGCCTTCAATTAGTTATCTTAATAGAACCCCGGGGTAGTAATATTCTTAGGCGACATTATAGCCCTTAGCCTTCTTCTTATTCTTTATACTAGTCTAATACTTATCTAACAACTTAGTTATGTCTTTAAAAGAGTCTTTAGCTTCCTACGAGTCCTATTTAGGTAAATAGCCTTACTATCTTAGTAGGTACTCCTTCTTGCTTTGCCTAGTACGATGCTATAGGATACGTTCTGCAGACTATAGCTCCTTACTATCCGCTAGTGTGTCTTCGTGTTCTATAGAGGCTTTATCCCCTTCGCGTAGGTAGTACGGCTTAAGGAGGGATATATAGAAGGTATTATAGATAGTATAATAAGGTAGGAGCTACAACTAATAGGCCTGTATGCCCTTAGCCTCCCGAATACGGAATAGGCTAATGTATCTTAGTGCGAGCTTAGGCCTTGTTTTGCTATTAGGTAATAGGTGTTTGCGGATGCGGAGGTTCTTTATACTAAGCATAACTATGTCGCCTTGCTTAAAGGTTATTAGTATATAGCGCTTATCGTAGTAGGTCTTTTAGTACTCTTAAGCCTTTATTAACTTCTCGGCTATCTTAGTATAGATTTCTCGTATCTTCTAAACCCTCTTAATAGCCGCTAGTGTTTCGGGTACTTAACGCGCTTCCCTTTCCTTACGCTCGGCCTCGAGCGATAGTAGGTCTTATAGTATAGCAGCATTCTAGCCTATTATAGCTATATAGGGCGAGATCTTAGTTAATAAATATACACTGTTGTTATATACGAATTCTGTAGGCTGTAGGAGGTTAACCTAATCCTCGGGGTTCTTATTAATATAGCTGCGTAGGTACTGCTATAGGGTAGCATTCTGCCTCTCTATTTAACCGTTAGTCTATAGATAGAAGGCTGTTAATAGCCGATGCTTCAGTCTTAGCTATAAGCAAATCTCGCTCTAATAGTAAGATATAAATATCGAGCCCCTATCGGAGACTATCCCCTTAGGGGTTCCCTAATAGGTATAGAAGATGTTACTCTATAGCGCCTCTGCTATATTAATAGCAGTCTAGTCTTTCCGCGCCGGGATGTATCGAGCGCCTTTAGTAAATCGATCTACTGTAACAAGGATAGTATTATATACGTCCTTGCTGCCCCTGCGCCTAGTAGGTAGAAGGCCTATAATAAAGTCTATTATTAGCTTAGCAAATGGCTTCTTTAGAACAGGGAGCGAAGACAACTCGCCGAACGGTAAGTGCTTCGGTGCTTTAACTCGCTGGCATACTATATAGGTCTATATATACTCCTTTATATGCCGCTTACTATTTAGCTAGTAGTATATACGCGATAGTAACTCGTGCGACCTCTCTGTGCTATAGTAACTAGCGAGCTTACTATTATAGTGCCTCTTTAAAAGCTCTTGTCTAATCGATTGTTTAGCGGGGACATAGTGTCTGCCCTTGAACTTTAAGTAACCTTTGTCGTCGATCGACTAATTACTCTTACTAGATCGAGTCGTTCGCCTACTTATAAGCCTATTAATACGGTTAACAGCAAAGGCGTCCCTCTGCTAAGCCCGTAAAAGCTTATCTATAAACAATTAACTATCCCTATTTATAAGGTCATTTAATAGCACCCTCGCTATTAAACGAGGTACGTATTGTATACATCTAATAGCACTAGCAGCTAGAACTACTACAACCTCTTCTATAGTGCTGTCGCTGTATAGACTATTACTATAGATAGCAATGTCCTTAATCGAGTTATTATAGCTCGAGCGATCTACGTCCTTCTTAACGTATACTAGAAGAACGACAACTCCGCTATAGTATTTGTTACCGCCGCGGGGTCCGGAAGTCCGCTTATCCTACGCTTGCTTATTAACAATACGGGCTATAGCAATCTTATACTATAGGGTTAGAAATAATAAATTAATGTACTAAGTCTCGCTATCGTAATTAGGTCGCCTCGATAGGCTATTAGCAGAGTTACTTACGCCTAGCCGATGTAATATATTAAAATTAAACCCAGCGAGGTAGACGGCCTATCTAGCCTGTCGACCTATAACCCTTATAACCTTAGTAATGCTACGTAGGTTGTTATAGTCTATATAGACCTAAATTGTATACTAAGCACTATTAAGATAGTAGCGCTAATACTTAAAGGCTTCTACGATTGCTAAGAGCTCTTACTCGTAGGTCTTATATCGACGTTCTATATCGATTATCTTTTGTAAAAAGAAGGTAATCGGGTGCTAGTAATAGTTATTATCTAATTGCTATAATATAATAGCCGATACAGCGAACTATAAAGCGTTAGTCTTAATTCGGATCTACTTGCTTAGCACGAAATAGTGCAATAAGGGGACATTAATAAAGCGTTGCTTTAGGCCGTTAAAAGCGGCTTGTACTCTGTTAGTCTATTTAAACTCTCTAGTTAGGTTAGCCTTAGTTTTAGTAAGCTTAGTTAGAGGCATTACATGCCGTAAATAGCTCTTAATAAAGCGACGATAGAAATTAGCGAAGCCGAGGAACGACTGCAGTTCCTTAATTAACGTAGGAACAGGCTATTTAGTAATAGTTTTAATCCGATTAGGATTAGCCTTGACACCCTTAGTTAATACGAGGAAGCTAAGGAAGGATACCTCCTTAGTAGCAAAGGTGCATTTAGAAGGTTTGCAATACAGTCTATAGGCTTACAGGCGGTCGAGGACCTTACGCACTACGGCCTAGTGTTCTGCAATATTAGGTGAATGTATATAAACTAGGATGTCATCTAGGTAAACTATACAGAGATAGTCTAATAGGCCTAAAAGGGCTCGATTAATATAGGACTAGAATATTGCAGGGGTATTAGCTAGGCTAAATAGCATAACTAGGTATTCGAAATAGCTATAGCGAGTACGGAAGGCTGTTTTCTATTCGTTACCCTTACGAATGCGGATACGATAGTACGCATCCTTAATGTCTAGTATAGTATAGTAGTAAGCCCTAGAAAGGCGATCGAGGGTCTTATTAATAAGGGGGAGTAGATAGCGGTCTTTAATAGTAACAGCGTTAAGCCTACGATAGTCGATATATAGGCGTAGGCTACTATCCTTCTTTAGTACGAATAGGATAGGTATACTAGCAGGGCTGTTACTATACCGAATTCGACTATTAGCTAGGTTTTCCTCTAGGTACTTACGCAATATAGCAAGCTCTCGCTTACTAAGGTTGTAGAGGGGGCTAAAAGGAACCTCCTTGCCCTCTATAATATTAATCTTATAATCCGTCTCCTTAAACATA